GTGTGGGTGTGGGTGTGGGTGTGGGTGTGGGTATGGGTGTAGGGTGTGGGTGTGGGTGTGGGTGTGGGTGTGGGTGTGGGTGTGGGTGTGGGTGTGCCTTAAGAAACACTTGACATTCACACTCCACACCCACACCCTACGCACACACACCCACACCCAACCACCCCCACCGATACCCCACCCACACCCACACCCATAGTTCCTCTTCAGAAAAATTGATTTTCGAATTGTGACTTGAAACTCGATGGAAAGACAAGGTTTAACGTTAGTGATTTATTGTGAACGTTTCAAATCTTTTCATTACCTTCTGTGTTAACATAAGAACGTCAAATTTGTCATTAGATATAAAGGTCAAGTTTTTACCATACCTTTATCTTAAGATAGGAGCAATGACAAGATCTGAAACATTCACAAGAAACTAGTCTCGTTAAGGTCTGTCTCTATAGAGAGTTCCAAGTCAAAATTCGAAAATTAGTTTTTATGATACTCCTGTGGAACACTATGGTTAGAATCTATCTAGTTTCAAATCCGAAACCAATCCGACGGGCTCTAACTACGACATTCATTTAAAAACTACCGTAAAAGTGCAGTATCTTGACATCAATAAACTACGGACTTGAACTGTCTTCAGAATATTCTTAGCTTATTTGATTCTACAGAATGCAAATAGCCTAGTTCAATTCTTGAATTTATCTTTAATATTATAGACTGAAACAACTTCGGATACTATAAAATGATAATGATCGTATTGAATCAATATTATTACAAAGAAGAAATGCTACTAGTCCCCAATTAACATTATCTGATCAATTAAATCGTCAAGCAAAAATTGATGAAGAAAATCGACTTTCATAGAAAAAATCAAAAACTGATGATGAATCATCAAAAAAAAAGGAAAGAAATCATCGAAAAAATCCGATATTAAATGAAAAACCTATTCAATCGATTCCTATACCACCATTGACATCTCAATTAAAAGAACCAGTTCCTAAACAAGTTAAAATACTTCCTATATTAACTGAAAAGCCAAAAAAAAAATCTAAGAAAAAGAAAATAACTGAAAAACAAGAACAATCATCAATATTGAAATCTAAATACAAAGGAGAACCTAGTGATTATAAAGAATTATTATCACCAGCTGATGAAGAAGAAAATCATCTAACTTCTATACATCTTCCTCCTCCTGCTACTACAGAAAAACCTAAGAAAAAGAAAACTAAAGAAAAAAAATCATCATCAGAAACAACAGTAGATACAAATACTTCTGCGCCACTCTTATTGGACATTATGACGGATGATATTCATCCAACAAATCAACCTGAGCAACAATACAATGAACAAGATACTTATAAACTAGCTGCTCAATCTGACAATTTGACAATTGTAAGTTCAATAATTATCCTACTTTAACAATAGATGAAGAAGCTTCACTAAGTGATAAAATGCTTTTGACAAGAGTCTTATCTCATTAGGTAGATTCTATTGATGTGTCAGAATAGAAGATATTCGAAAGTCTGACACTTGCATAATGAATTAATCTTACCAAGAACTTGATTTTGAAGATGATCTGAAGAGAAATTCACTAAAATGACTGTCACCCAAACAAAAAGATCCATTTCGATACGATTCCAAAGTATATCTGACCGACTCCAATCCGTAAAAAAAGGCAACCTTGCCCATTTATAGCTCATACCCACGTTGGAGATACCACTTTTTCTTGAATACTAGTGTAGTTTCGAGATTTTTTCCTTCGTATGTATTTAAACAATCTGTTATAAATTTATTTTTAGGAATATTCGATTAATCCGAATCCATTAATAGCTCAACTTGATATAACATTTCTTTTAAAAAATCGAACATCATTTATTATTGATCATATTAATATTCATGTTATTGATAGTATGAGTTTGAAATTATTAAATACAACAAGTACAAATTTAATATCACTTCCATCTATAAATCTTTTTCCTCATTCACAAAATTATATTCATATTTATTTTTCAATAAATGCTATATCATTTTCTCAAAAATTAAAAGTAACATTAACTTATTCTATAAATGTATGTTGAAGAAATAAAAAAAAATACTTGTTATCTTCATGTTTCGCAGATATATTTAGAAATTAAATACAATTGAAACAGATAGAATTGAATTTAAACTTAATTTACCTTGCTCACAATTATTACTACGAAAGACTAGGGTGTGAGGTGCGGATGGGGGTGTGGGGGTAGGGATAGTGGTGGGTGTAGGTGTGAGTGTAGGTGTGGGTGTGGGTGTGGGTGTGGATGCTTATCTTCTCTTCACTTACACCGACACCCACACCCACACCGACACCCACACTCTCACACCCACACCCGCACTCACACCCCACATCATCGAAATAAATCAATTGTAGATCTCTAGAAAATATAAAAATTTTATCAAATATTTTTCTTTTTAGTTAATTTTTAATTAATGATGATTTCTATATGAAATTTTGTTTTATAAATAACAATTTATTTTAAAATGATAAAATAGATAAATGTAAGAAATAAATTTACCTATTAAAATAAAATTTTTAATAATGATTTAAAATTGATCTAGTTTTTATTTCAATATTAATCGAAATCAAAGAAAAGATTTTTTGTTTTTTATTAATAAAATAAAAATAAATTGTTCACTTCTAAATAATTTTCAAATAATTTTTCATATTAAGACTATATATTTCACATAGGTTCTCTATTTCGAATATTTAATTGATAGTTTAATTGAATATAGTCTTATAAATGAATAATTAAATACCCGACCAATAATAACCTGCAATAGCAAGTGGTACACTTTGATTTTGACAAGAAGGTTGTTCATGATGAAACAACGAGTAAATATTTTGTTGTTTTAAAGATACAAAAGCTGCCAAACGACCAAATCCACTACTTGTAGTAATTAAATGTTGTTCACATAAACTAAAAAGAAAGCTATCAAATATTCCTAATTGAAAAGCTAATATATGATTTGTTGTATATCTTATATGAAAAACTGGGTTAGAATTTGCTAAAATATTTAAATCACTATTATTTGTTTGACATTTATTTTCCAAGGATTGAAAACATTCTAATGAAAATTTCCAACGTTTTAAAGCAGCTTGACGTATTTGAATATCATCAGATAAAAGAAAAATAATTGGAATTTGATTTAGTTCATATAATAATTTTTTATTTCTATTAATTATTTGTTGAGAACATATAAAAAAATTATCAAATTTTTCAAGAATTTCTTTTTCATTCAATGAATTTTTTGTTTGAATCATTGTTCCATCACCAGCACGAATTTGAATTCCAATTGGAAAAAATTTCGGTGATAAAAGTATTTGTAAAATTTGTTGAAATGAATGACCTAATTGATTTTGTGAAGAAATTAATGGAACTCGTTTGATTAATGCAGATAAACGATATGTAAAAAGAGAATTATAAAGACATCCAAAAATATTTTCTGTATTCATTTCAAGATCAATTGTTAAAAATTTTCTATAAATACTTGAATTTGATTTAATTGTATGTATAACACCCCCTGTATGACCTTTAAATATAACAATACGTTCATGACAATATTTTTCATAATCATAATCTTTATGATATCGATCAAAAGAAAAATAATAATCTTTGATTGTTAAATTATTTTGAATATTTAAAGATAAATTTTTCTTAATTATATCAATTTGAGAAAACCAAGGAATAATAAATTCTTGTTGATAATTTAAATTTGATTGCATAACATCTATGAATTCTGGCCAATTTTTATCAAATATAAATAATCGATTTGTTAATAAAGCTACTAAATAACTTGAAATTAAATGAATTAATCGATCAGCTATACCTGTTATATGTTTTTCATAGATTAAAAAACGAACATTAAGATCAATTATACGTTGAAACTGTTCTTCATATGTCATTGATCGATTATTAATTGTCGAACTAATATATTCATGCCATTGTTGATAATTTAAAATCCAATTTTGAAATTTTTTTGAACATATTTGATTATTTTTTGCTAGTTCAAATGGAATTAGACGTCTTGTTTTTATTGAACTATTATTTTTATCTATTGACATATTATATTGTAAATCAAGCCAATATGAAACACTTTCTTGTTCTCGAAAAAATAATTCTTGTGATGTTGAATGAATTAAAACATCTATAGAAGAACATTGAAAAGAATTGAAATGTAATTGTGAAGATTGATATTTATTTGTAGTTAAATTATTTAAAGCTGCATTTAAACATGTCATTGTTAAAGGCCATTGTAACCAAGAGAAAATTTTTTCTTGACCAAAATTTGACCATTGATAAGAAAAACGAAATTTATCATCAATTAAGAAGATTTGATCAATATCAAGATATATAATATCTGATGTGTTTCTTAATGATAATAAACAACTCGAATTTTTTGATAAAAATGTCAAATATACTTCTTCAATATTCAATATTTTGACATGAAAATTCAAATAAATATAACAAATGGGATAAAAATTATTAATATTTTTCGAATTTTTTAAACAAGTTATTTTAAGACAATCAATTTTATCCTGATAATTATTTTTAAAATAATTCAAATAATTTTTTCTCATTGATGTTAAATTTAATTTTAATGTCAAATAATGATTATGAAAAATTGGTTTAAATAATTCTTTTTCTATACGAGATAATTCTTTTTCATATAATAAAAGTAATTCAATCTCAAATCTTCTCGTTAATATTGATATACTTCGAGAAGATTCATTATGAATCCATCCAAATTTCAAATTATTTTGATAAATAAATAAAACAACTAAAAGAAATATAATCAAACGAAAAATATATGGAATCTTTATAACTATACGTAATCTTTTCTTTATGATTTTTAAACATCGTTTTAACATTGATAAATAATACAAAACAATAAAAAATCTGAAAATTTATATTAAAAAATCATGTTAGAAAAATATGAACTTTCTCTGTAGAAAATACTTAGGTCATTCCAAAAGTAGTGGCACTGACATTTTATTAGCATATAGTAAGCTGAAGGGAATTGTCTTTTTATATGTAATGGTACTAAAAATAACGCTCTATCTTTCTGTGATATTGATTCATTCTTAAACTGATATCATGATAGGTAAACTTCGATAAAAAGTATTTATTATGATATGTAACGATAACATAATATCATATTTCTCTTTGATGCATATTCACTTGTTAATATTCTTTCTATTCTCTGCTCCCCTTTCTTTCTTTTTTTCTCGTCGCCTTTGATACCTAATTGTCTATTCATATTAGAGTAAGTGAGATTAATAGCTTCGGAACAAAAAAGAGATGCGGAAACAAGTTCAACAAGTTTTTATTTCATCAAATGTTCGAAATAATCGCCTTCGTTATCCACACACAATTGCATCCGTTTAATCCACTTATCGAAGGTCTTCTTGTATTCAAAGAATTCATGACCTGAGTAATAGCACGATGTAATGATTCGGAATTGTCTTGATCATCTAAGTTTTGTTTGACTAAGTCGAATAACCAAAAATCATATGGTGCCAAATCGGAAAAATTAGGTGGATGTGGTATCACTGTAATACTTTCTGATTGAAGATAATTAAGCACTTCTTGATGAAAATAGGGTGTTCCATTATCATGATGAAGTCAAATTGAATGAGTACCGAAACTAGGTTTTTGGTTCTTGATTTCATTAATAACGAGGTATAAACAATTATTGATATAATATTCGTGATCGACAGTTTGCCGTCGTTCAACATAATGTATCAAAAGCGGATCAGTTGAATTAAAGAAAAAGCGTACCAATCTCATTCAAATTCTGCTAAGTTTTCTTTACATATTCGAGCTCGTTCAGCTCGTTGAGAATCGGACAAATATTTAGGTACATAACGAGCGGTAATCTTTTTCAGCTTCAAATGATCGGATACTATTCGATATACGGTGGCATGACCCAGACCAGTTTGCTCTTGCAGTTCATCGACTGCAACAAAAGGACCATCATCGATAATGCTTTGAACTTGTTCAATATTTTCAGAAGTTGTCTCGGTCACAGGTCTACCAGGTCGATCTTCGTCTTCAACCTCTTCTCGACTTTCACGAAACCGTTGAGACCATCTAGCAACTGTTCTATAAGAAGGAGCTTTGTTACCAAAAACAGTGTATAATTCATCATGAATAGTTCTTGCTTGAATATCAAGTGCAGTACGCACTTTAATGTAGAAACGGAAATTTTCCTTATCCATGTAAATAGGCGCGAATGATGTGAGATTTAATCGAACTTTCGCTCTTTCACTTTCTTAAAAAACATTAACGAACGGCACATACACACTAAACAAATAATATACGTATCTCTCTATATGTATATGAGTAGAGGATTATATATTAAAGACGACGAGAAAAAAAAGAAAGAAAAGGGAGCAGAAAATAGAGAGAGTATTAACAAGTGAATGTGCATCAAAGAGAAATATGATATTATGTTATCGTCACATATCATAATAAATACTTTTTATCAAAGTTTTCCTATCATGACAGCAGTTTAAGAATGAATCAATATTACAGAAAGATAAAGCGTTATTTTTAGCACCACTACATATAAAAAGAAAATTTTCTTCAGCTTACTATATGCTAATAAAGTGTCAGTGGCACTATTTTTGGAATGACCTAAGTAATATCGATTTAAAAATAAAATAGAATAGAATTTTCTATAAGGTAACTATCTAATAAGCCCATAAAAAAAACATACTTTTAATGAAAAATCGATCAGAACTCAATTGAGTTTGATTGTATACTGAATATAATACAGACTAAGAAAGAAGAATGAGAATTATTCTTTGATTTTTTACATACATTTGTCTTTCATCTGAATGACATAAAATTGGTAGAAAGTAAAAAATGTCGGAAGAAAAAATATCGAAAGTGCTATTA